TTAACAGTTTAAAGGTCCAGTGTGTAACATTTAGGAGGAGCTATCGGCAGAAATGGAACATAATATTTAAAGCTATATTTTCACAAGTGTGTCATCGACTTAATATAAGAATGGTTGTGTTTTCGTTACCTTAGAGAATGAGCCCAGAAAAGACGAACCAAACACTGACTTTAGATTGAGCCTTTTCTGTTTTTCACAGCCACCGTAGTTTCTCCTATTTAATTGGAAGGTTGAAGCAAGTTGGTTGCAATCCACTAAATCTTGCACACCAGTCCTTTAAAGCTGCACATTTCTTTCCTATCAACAATGACTCAAAAGAATGTGAAACTGTTGATCATAGTGATGAGTTCAGATAAATATGACCCGACTCTGCAGTGCACCTTTAGAGTTTTTTAGCCAGCTCGTTACGATTCTACGGCCCACAAACTCAGACGTTCTCCACAACCTTGTTACCAGCTGCAGCAGCCAGCTGTTTTCAGCAGGAAAAACTCTAATAAAGCCACCTGCTACCTGCTCTGCACCAGACAGCAGACAGACAAAGTTAGCGACTAGCTGGTGAACACGGTGGAACATTTAGCAAATAGAGAACCAGATATTTCCCTCAGGAGCTGGTGGACAAACAGAGCTTCAGGAAGAGTGTTTACAGTATTATATTCACACTCTGTCTCTGCTCAGTGTGTAAATAAGCAACTGTTTGCCAACATGCTAGCCATATTAACTTTATTAAGTGATAGTATGTCACTGCTGTGATTGCAGCCTGTTTCTGCTGCCCCCAAGTGGCCAAAACGTCTCACTGTACAGATCATTAACGTCATGTTATTGCTGCTAACGACACTTTTATTCTTTCTTACAGAACAGGACCAATATGACGTACGAGAAGATGTCGCGAGCACTGAGACACTACTACAAACTGAACATTATCAGGAAAGAGCCTGGACAAAGACTTCTATTCAGGTATATAAACTTTTCCAGCCGTTCGTTAAAAAATGTGTATTATTGCCAAACAGTAACTAAAGACGGAGGTTGCAGTAAATTACAAGAGCTGTTTTCTCTGCGTTCACCAGGTTCATGAAAACTCCAGATGAGATAATGAACGGACAGGCGGACCGGCTGGAGCACATAGAGTCCGACACAGACGAACAAATCTACATCAAAGAGGAATGCTGAGGAACTCTGGGAGAACGAGTCCATGAACTACTTACTACTACTACTATTACTACTACTACAGCCGCTGATGCCTTTCAGAAGCAGCCTGAACAATCGTTGTTGAATCTGGAGCGTGTGGACGTTCGCTCGTATCCGTCCGACACGGGCAGACGTGAAATCTGATCTCTCTTAAGATTGCCTTAGGATGATATTTTCCTGAAGTAGAAAAGAAAAAAAAGCAAACAGCATCAGTTGTTTTGATTTTCCCGATGGACTGAGCTGAAAGGACTTTTTAAGTGTTCCCTTTTATCTCTGAATGAACTGCAAAAGCCAATCACTTTGTGCTTATGTCACTTTTATGATTTTTTTGTCTGCTCACATGCATTATACTATGGAATTTTGCTGTTTGTAAAAAGAAAATTGGGTGTGTGTGCGTGTGTGACAGGAATGTTTTCACCATGGAATAAACATTTTTGATCAAACTGTGTTATCTGTGTGAGGAGAGTACTTAAAGCCCCCCTCCACTACCCCACAGTGTGCAGTTTGAATGAGGTCTGTGCAGTTTGACTCTAGAAGGATGTTTTCACATTCATCTGCTGAAAGTGGAAAGTTTCTCTGTGCTCATTGAAAATCTGATTTTAAGGGGCGGGGCCTACCAGCATGATTTGTGACATCACATGGACATCACAAAGTCATTTGGAAAGTCCAGTCCTGGCCAGGATGCAACTATACAGTGTTGAGTAGAAAACTTGAAGCCACCAGTAGACATTCACTGAGAATGGGACTTTAACGTGACGTAGGAGGACATCTGTGTGTTGTTATGTGGATGTGGAAGTCGTATACGTTACTATACCAAAAAAAAACATCAGACACACATTATTGTTCCCAGCAGCACTGATCAGTTTTCTTTCACTTCCTGAAAAAAAGAATGTCGGTGAGTCTGGTTGGTGAAAAAAAAAAAAAGAATGCAATCAAACGGATCCACATGATGGCAATAGCTGGACAACTGTTTCCGTGAGGGACAATGCGCAGTGGGTGCTGTCCACAGTTCAACAGTTCATCACCACAGTCCACCAATCTTCTCCTTTAAAGGTCACTATGGGATTAAATATTCTCCTTTATGTTGGAACGCAGAGGAGAAATG